TTGCGCTTACCGTTGGCTTTTATCGCACCATGGTGTGGGAGTTGCGCTTACCGTTGGTGTTCTTCGAGTAGAAATCAAGTGAAAATGTTTTTTTTTTGCAGAGGTGCACACCATCCCAGCTAAGATGTTTAGAAGAGTGCTAACCATAGTGCAGGCTCACACAAAACTGGGTCTGACTGCCACGCTCGTGCGCGAGGATGACAAGATAGCAGACCTCAACTTCCTCATTGGCCCGAAATTGTACGAGGCAAATTGGATGGAGCTTCAAGACAAGGGCTACATTGCAAAGGTGCAATGTGCCGAGGTAAGACATACTAAAATAGATCTTGAAGCACAGTCGATGGGTCAAAATAGCTGCTAAACCTTGTTTCAAAACTGTTAGTTTGGTATACCGATACTTTCTACTGCCCATCACCTACTATGTTTTCATGTTCAGCCTTGCTGAAAACATTATTTGAAAAAGCAAGACTAAATTTGTTTTTGCATGTGTGATTTTGAGTACATGTGTGCATTTGAGTGAGTGTGTGTGTGTGTGCGCGCGTGTTTGTGTTTGTGCATGTGCATTCGCGCGCGCGTGCGTGCATGCGTGCGTGCGTGCGTGTGTGTGTGTTTGTGTGTGTTTGCGTTTGTGCATGTGCATTTGCGTGTGTGCGTGCATGTGCGTGTGTGCGTGCATGTGCGTGTGTGTGTGCATGTACGTTTGCATGCATATACACGTAGGTGTGCTAGCATCGTGCATATTACTACACAATGTAAGGCAATGTAACCCGTGTATGTGTTTTCCCCTGCGTACAGGTGTGCGTGTGTATGCGTGCATACACGTATGTGTGTTCCTACACAATGTAAGGCAATGTAACTCGTGTCTGTATTTTCCCCTGCACGCAGGTGTGCGTGTGTATGCGTGCATACACGTATGTGTGTTCCTACACGATGTAAGGCAATGTAACTCGTGTCTGTATTTTCCCCTGCGTACAGGTGTGCGTGTGTATGCGTGCATACACGTACGTGTGTTCCTACACAATGTAAGGCAATGTAACCCGTGTCTGTATTTTCCCCTGCGTACAGGTGTGCGTGTGTATGCGTGCATACACGTACGTGTGTTCCTACACAATGTAAGGCAATGTAACCCGTGTCTGTATTTCCCCCT